TAATGAATCGATCATATGGAATATATAATTAAGCCTTTGGATATTGAAATACCCCACCCTACTTTATAAATAACTATTTTATCAACCTTTATCTCTTAATATTTATATTCTTCAGGTACAATACAGAGAATATCCGTTAGTCGGAGTAATGGAATCTACAACTTGGGATCAAGGAGGACGAATAATTCAAAATCAAAATCAAGAAGACGACAATGGATAAGGGAAAGTTTTCCTTCGACAAAAAGGAACAGGACACTTTATGCCTGACGTCCATGATTTTATAAGGCATAAAAATCCAAGCATACGCGGAAAAATTCAAATCTTTTGAAATATGTTATAAAGAATAAGATTTTAGCAAAGCAAAGCTAATTTGAACAGCTTGCGTTTCTTCAGTGAACCTGTTTGTGAGATAATAGGTAGACCTGGTGGAATGATTTATGAATTGCAGCTATCATTGTTTTTAATCTCATTAAAAGTCTAAGCTTCTTCTGTTTTTACAAAATCACAATAAAAAACAGATACGGCAAGATGAAGAAATCACTGCTTTATTATAAATATAGCTTTTGTTTTACCTTCCATAGATTTCAGATTTTCTGTATACATGTATATATACTAATGAATACTCGACATTCCTTTCTATCCCCTAAAAAGAAGTTATGGCTGTCCTCCTCTTGGGTGATAAAAAAAATGACCAGACATATAATAGTCATCTTGCACTAAAAAAGAACAAGGGGATTACATATTTGTGTTTTATCATATGAGTTTTAAAATTGTCTAAATACACATCACTGTTTATCAAAAAACGGGATAGCCTTTATCACAGTAAAATGGAAACAGATAGGACTTTAAATATTATTTTAGAAAGTAAGTTTATATTATATCAAGAAATGGTTGCTGTGCTGTACAATTTTCTCAAAATTCAATTTTTCTTATTAATTCTGTTTTTTTTTATCGAACAAAACTTACATATAAAACTATGTAGATCTTAATGTAGAATGTCTCAATGTTTGTTTCACCAAGTTGTGGCAGATGTTAAAAAAATTGCTCGGCAGAAGAAAATGTAGCATTGCAATTTAACATCAATTAAAAAAAACTGTTAGATGATAAAGTCAAAAAACTAAAAGGACTATAACTGATTTACTATTTAAACTTTTAAAATGTCATGTAAATGACAGGTAGCAGTAATGAGAGTATCTGTACATTCTCATGTCAGGAGTGCAATATTTGATGCTCAGCTACCCAGCATGAAAAAAAAACACTTATCAGTATATCATTCCTTGATTTCTATTTTAGAATATAAAGTCAAAAAGAATTTAATTACTAGTAAATTAATCTTTACCGGATCTATCTGTTTTAGAAGTTACCTTATAGAGACAGGGGAGAAGCTGCTAGGTAAGATGAGAGATATTTATTGCAGGAAATGAGGAAATAAATAAACTAGAACAAAAAGTACTATGATCCAAAGTCAAGGCAGCAAGCTTTAGAGGTGGATGAAAAGGTATTGGTTTTACTCCCTACAGGTACCAAAATATTATTGCTCCAGTAGAAGGGACCAGCAAGAGTCACTGGAAGGGTTAGTCCCGTTGACTATATAATTCAGTTTGATGATGGGGTTAGTAAAGCTGAAACAATGGATAGAGAGGACGACAATGTGGTGATGACAGTCGTAAGTAACGCAGAGTCTGCAGATGATGACGACTGGATTGGAAATCATTTAATGCATTCTCGAGATACGGTAAAGGTGTGAAAAATTTTCAAACGCTTACTCCAGAACAATAAATATATATTATTATAACAGTTACTTGATCCGAAGGGTCGTATCACGTCGAGTTGACAGGCGCGGATCATCAGATCTAACGAGACGCGAAGCGTCGAGTTTGATCTGATGATCCGCGCCTGTCAACAAGACGTGATACAGCTCTTCGGATCAAGTTACTGTTATAATGATAAATTTATTATATACCCCCTTATAACTAGCAAAATATAGCAGAATAAAACTTTAGAGATCATGTTGTATAATATTTATCCATAAAACAAAGCTTAATAACAAGGGACTTTTTAACGCGCAAGAAAAATAACGTCATGTTTTTGCGTACTACGTCATCAGTTTCAGAGAGTGGTGATATGGATTCAGAAAACCACAGTGTGGTGATCCGGAAAATCGGATCAAACTCTGTAAAATTAAAAGTAACAAAAACAAGGAAATTGATGGGTATATAATAATCTGAGTTATAAGTTTGTTCGGAGCAATTCTGTTTGGTTTTGTCCAATGTTCCAGGTCGGGCGAATCTGTTTAAACATCATGTGGTAACTATAAATGAGATAACCGTTTGTCGGAAACCTTATTAGATACCCCATTTCTTGCGTGATGAAGTAAAAATAAAGAGTTATCAGTCATGGTGGAGGCAGGTATAGTATTACTAAAAATGATTTTAAGAAAATTTTGTTTAGTTTTATTTTTTCCGACAAACGATGACAATTTTTTAAACCGATCGATATCGTTCCGATCGAGTTATCAGTTAAGCGGTTACAAATTTCCATCCCTACTTAAAGCTGAACACGACTCGTAAATAGGTTACCGTTTTGGTAGCTTAGTCGGTAGAGCGTGATCGGGAGGTCGTGAGTTCGCATCTCGGCCGCGACTGACCTAAGTCGATAAAAAAGGGTAGCAACTGTTCCTTCGCCATGCGCTCGGCACTTTGAAGTGAAAGTTGCGGGTCCTTCGGATGAGACCTTAAAAACCGAGGCCCCGTGTCAGCGGCAGGCGTTGGCACGATAAAGATCCCTCACTGCTCAATGGTGCCGAATGAGGTCAAAATTTGAAGCCCTTTACCGGCATATGGTGACGTCTCCATATGAGTGAAAAATTCTCGAGAGGGCCGTTAAACATTATACAATCAATCAATCATCGTAAATAGGTTACGCGATGTCGATATCATTATCTACGATAATCAACACCAGGGTATACTCTTCCGATTTGTCACACTTGACTGCTTTATTGTCACGGGTATCGGCGTTGAATGGCAACCCGTGTTCGTGTTGGTTATCTTGAATTACCTTTGTTTAAATTTCATTGCTTTTACTGTATCTGTGTTTCTTTGTATACTGCACTGACCTGTACAATTATAATTGTAATTTTCTTTGATATCTTACTTTCCTGCTATATACTAAGTATTACGTTATTATTCTCGCTACTGAGTGCTGTATAGCATACGTCCGTCTACACCGGTGTAGACTGATTACACTGAACAGTGACAAAGTCTTGCTCTTTTTATAGGGTTCTAGAAGTATAACGATTCTCCGAACAAAAATGGCGGACACATTCTTTTTACGATTCGTGTTCAGCTTTAATGTAGTGGTATAAATTACCATTTACGATTAAGGAATTTGTATGCTCTACAACAAAACTTAGAAGAAAATCGTTATAAACTGAGTTTATGGATGACCAAAACTGAGTTTTACTAGGTGTCTACGAGTTATGATAATTAAAACATTAATAAAATTATTGTAAAGAACACAGTTGTTAAACATACGTTAAAAACTGTAAGCAATACAATTGCACATACTAGTATATAATTCGTTAAATAATCTAAATATTCATGATTTATTTCAAGGAATTGTATTATATATCAATTTTCTGTTAAAAACCAACCTGAAAAAAAAATTTATTGAATTAATCATTCATAATAAACAAACTTTCCATTGTTGTTTATTTACATGTTTATTGTCAGAAAAGAGAATATAAATCATCACCATAGTAGACTTGGAGAAAAATGTAGACAAAGCTTACTATTAACAACAATTGTAAAATTTACATATCATTGGTACATGTATTTATTTTGATCTTCACGCGCTTTTGATCATACAATTGCACATATAGATTTATTTGTCACGCATCGTATTGTTCAAAATTTAATCGGCCAGTGATAAATGAAATCGAATATAAAGATAACAAACATTAATCATGTGTAAGAGGCCATGAAATATATATACGCAGAGTACTCAAGTTCAAAAGTCCCTTCAAACAATATAAATCATGAGTAGAGCACACACGGCCCTCTAAAACATCAGAGGTGGGATCAGATGCCATGGAGCAGTGTGTATCCCCTGCCGACCTATCACACCCACCCACCGCTTGATCATTGTAATGTAATTCAAATAACGGACCAAAAATAAGTATGGAAATCATCAATCATCATTTGCTGGATAGAAATGTTGCACATTACAAGTTTAAAGCATAATTTCATTGTTAGGTTACAAACTGAAACCAAGTTCTGTCAAAGCATCAAATTACATGTTTGTTTGACTCTTAGGAAAGTATTCACGAATGTTTCTGATAATCAAAATCAAACATAAATTTGAATAATTTGATTATACTTCTAGAGAAAATACAAATAGGTGAATGGAGCTACAAGTATTTATATGTAATTGCAATGCCGCAAATTATAGTTTTTTTCCTGATTATTGCATAAAAACTCCCCATCCTTTGGATCAAATTTATAATAAGGATATCTCTAATGTACATATTGTACTAGTATATTTCCTTTTTTCAATAGTATCAAATCCGAAATTCGGATTTTGAAAACAAAATCCTCTTTTTTATTTGTTCATCTGTGCAAACTTTTATGTAAACGTTTCGAAATTTTTTCTCGAATGCCCAATGTCAATATTTATTTATATGCACATTAAGCATAATTATTAATAAAACGCAGGTGAGTGTTGTGACGCACGTGTACTTCAAGTTACATGTATGTGCCTTTTGAAGAGTATTTAGAATTAAATAATGACTTATGTTGAGGATTTTTAGATTTGATTCATTAAAATTCCTTGCACGCAGCGTACAATTCATTTGTAAACTGTCACTCCAATTTCATAATGAATGTCTTTTTATATATTAGATTGGAAAACCCTGTTGGAAAGCACACAATTCCTATGCTTTCGAAATGAATAAAAATAAACTTACCTGTGACGTCTCTTATCCTAAAAGTGATGCTTATATACAGAGTAGACAAGACATATTATCCAAATCCGGTATGATAATATTACCTTAAGCATTATTCAGCTAATAACAGTTATGTAATTTGTATATTCAAGCATGCTCATATAAGGAAAAATTATTTGAAAGTACTTCCAAGTGTTAAATTGCAGACGAACAGAGGATATTGTGAAAGTGAAAAAGAAACTTTTATAGACAATGACGTCGGCACGCCTAATCATTATTTTTGTGCTGCTTTTGATTTTACATGTAGGATTAAATGTAGGATTATATGAAGTAATGGCTGAAGACAGTGATGGAAACAGCGTAAGATTGATTGTAAAACGAAGTCTGTTATGTAAGTATTGTCGGTAAATATTGTTACAGTTGATTGCAAGACTACATGTATTTTATCAATAATTGCCATGCTTTTATATATAAGTATCTCTTTGTATTTACCGTCTTTAATAGGGGGAACACGGCGATATGGAATTTACAATTTACGATCCAGGGGAAGAAGACGTCCCAGTTCAAGACGAAAATGGAGTTAACTGTGCAATTTCTCGTCAATAAAGCAAACATTTATAATAAAAAAAAATGGCGTATGAATCATATACTGTAAAACGAGAATAATTGGCGCATTACTAATTTTAGTGCCTTTGGTGCAAGAGCCACTGAACGCTAAAATTTATTGTGCGCTAATGGATTTCTAAATATTTTTTGTGCATGTTTAAAGCTTTCACATTACCACATTTAAACTGTAACGCGCGATTACGTAGTCTCGAAGGGGTCGTTGGATTTTATATATACACACTAAGACTGTACATGGTAGGATCGTTCAAGACAGTTTTGCTAAATTCTAATACTAGGTACCTATTATTAGCAACTTCAAAATTTGGCTTCTGGACGTGTCAATTACTAGTACCTATCACTTCGAGATAAGAAGACATGTACATTATTATGATATATAACCGTTCTTCCAAGTTCGGTTAACTTTACCGTGGTTTTGCAATCACATGGACGTGATAACTAAAAAAATGGTTGTCTGGACTGGTGCAAAAATATTTCAAGAAATTGTAAACCTTCTGTAATGTTTAAAAATCTCTCCTTCTGAAACCATCCTTATTAAACTAAACAAGTTTTTTTTTTACTTCAAATCCCATTTTTGTGAAACTTTGAATAAAGAATTAAAAAATATTCGATGAAACTTATTCATTATTAACTGAGTAAAATGAATAAGTATTATCGCGTAGTTTTCAGTTTTTTGAAATATAGATATTTTACATGCACTTATGTGAAATACCCCCAAATTGATGCCTATCAAATTTGCTTTGTGCCTGAAAGTCAATCAAATATCTTCAGTGATAATTGTTGTATTTTGTCAAACAGAACATTGGTTGTTGTAAGTCCTTCTCGCCAAGCGCCAAGGACGGTACCCACTTTTAATACCCATTACATCAATATTGTTCATTGAAATCCATTTGCTCATATGTCTATAAACAAACATTGAATGCTGTAAATTTTACAAATTTCAGTGAATATTTCTTTGGGTTTGCCAGCAGGTTTTACAGCAGCTTTAGTAAAGCGTTTAATTTCACTCTAGTTTACTGGTTCTCTAACATTCATTTTTAATGCAGTTTCTCCAATAGCCCTTGTTTTCCAGCTTCTCACGATAAAAATATGAGATGAAAAGTGGTCACATAAAATGATATTAATTCATTAAAGATTCAATCATGAGAAAAAGGCAAGCATAATGCTATATGATATCTGTGTTGTATGTCATAAAGTTCAGGACATAATTTATTGAACAGCCCTCGTAAATCACTGTATAAAGAAAGTGAAGAAAGTAAACATGTAGTGGTATAAATTACCATCTAATATTAAGGGATTTGTATGGTCCAAAACAACAACAAAAGAAAATATTTCGGAAGCATGAAAACCATCGGGGATTTAACTTTGACATTATCCGAGTGGAGGACGAGGTTGTGTAGTGAAGTCTCAGAACTTCGTAAACAACTCAGTGTTGTGTCATTGGTGATGTTTGCTGTGGGCATAGCAGGAAGAACTTCATAGAAATATTTATTTTTCTTTTTGTTTTGGGTTCATCTGTTGAAATCTCAATGGGGATTTTCCTGCCACTATCTAAATAATTTCTTATTTCTGGGCAACATATGAGGGGGTATCAAAAAGTTCGTGGACTACCGCTTTAGGTACATCAATGAATTTTAAAATATCTAGTTAGCATCATTTTTTTCTATCTATGGAATAAGCTACAAATCGTAAATTTTATTTTTTTTTTTTTTATAAATTAGTAGTGTTTTTGTAAGCAATGTTATGTCCAAGCGGCGCAACCTCGAAAACAACGTTTTTTCGACTTAAGTATAACTGAGAAAAAACTACTCTGTTATGAACATTTGACATTCAAAAATACGGTTAATTTAGGTATGTGTTGAAACACTATTATTCCATAAAATATGGATTTTTTATCTCATTCCTGAAGTTCCATGAAATTTTATCGTAAATTTGACATGGGTTATCCAAACAAATTTTGCTTGAAAATGACGTCAAAAAGGGGGAGATGTATCCTTTTCCAACATTCTATAAAGTTTTGCACCTGCAAAAAGTGGTATAGTCCTTGGAAATGTTTAAACGGGCTACGGAGAAATAATATGCATTCAGAGTACGTGTCTTTTTAGTTGCCAAATTTATTCAAAGAGAAACGGAATGCACGGTTAATGTCAATTTGTAGTCAAAGTTTGAATAATCAATCATGTAAAAAAATTACGTTGATCGTGTCTTGTAGATATTGAACTCCAAAAAGCGAATTATGCCGGTGTAACGACGAAAAATGACCCCCGTAGAATACTGACCAGGGGGTCATTTTTTACGTAGAAAAATGACCCCGGGTCAATATTTTACGACAAGTAGGGTCATTTTTCGACTGTATAAAAACATCCCAGACCAGTAATTCTACGACTCCACACACGTTGAAAAATGACCCCCGTAGAATTTTGACCCCCTACTCTTTTATACAATAAAAGCTTAATCATTCAAAGGTTTTGTTCCAAAAATGGCATGATTCGTTTCTGATAACTATAAACTTTGAATTTTTTTTACAAATCCAAGAACATAGCATGAAGCAAGAAAAGCAACATTATTTAACTATATAAATTCAAGTCCCTTAGCTCTTACATTTAAATAGGGCTGGGTATTGGCCCAAGATTTCGCATTGCAATATATTGCGATATTTATAACTGTATTGCGATATGTATAGCAATATTTACAATGTAATTTAAATGGCATTTTCCTACTATATTTACTTTAATTTATATGCAGAATGGACAGAAATATGATAAGTACCAACACAGAAAAAAATCTTGTTGATTTCATTAAAGTTATGCTCTGAAATGTTCCCACAAAACAACTTCTGTCTTACTGTTTGGCTTAATAACAAACTTTCATAAGTCCATTTTTATATTTAATGACAACATTCCTTAATTTAAGCATATTGCCAATATATCGATATTACAAAATCGTATTGCAATACGATATTTTTTGTCAGTGTATTGCAATATATTGAAATATTGATATTATTGCCCAGCCCTAATTTAAACTTACATGTACATCTGTATGGAAGAATGATATGGAGATTAAGAACAGTATTCAATATTAAAGTCCATTAAACAATACAAAATTGGGGCAAAGAAAAAACAAGGACCTCCAAAACATCAGAGGTTGGATCAGGTGCCATCCCCTGGTGACCGGTCGCACCCGCCGTGTGATCCTTGTCATAATCAGAAAATAACGGAAAATACGTTGTCAATTCGATGTAAAATAATGGCCTAACAATCAGCACGAAAAACGTAAGTCAGCATTTAACTTAATGATAAATTGTATTTGCTGACAAGGTCATGGTATTGATCATAGAACTGACGAAATGATGACTTTAAACGAATATTCTTGTTTCATCAACTTGCTTGTCAATGATTTACCTTGTTTAAGAAAATGTTTATATGTAGATCATGCTCTTGAGTATCAAATCAACACATCGAGAAATTCCAATAGATCGTTTGAAGACCTGGTCTCCAAAAATCACATAGATTTTTTTTCAATCAGAAACTCAAGCACTTTTTTATGTCAGCTTCAGAGAACTTCTGTGTGTAATCAGAGTGTGTTATAAATTAAAAAAAAAAATGCTTACCTTTTCAACACTTTTTAGCCCACAGACATCTGACCAATGGTTGCTGTTACATCCTCTTTCTTCTGAGATTTTATAGACATAACCTTTGCAAGTTAATGAACTCTAATTGTATATCAGCCATTACTTCGATATAAAGTCCTAGCACATACCGTCCAAAAATAATGCTAAAGTAAAAGTGTGGAATTTGGGGGTAAAAGTGTCTCAAACTTCAAGATCATTGTCATAATGTCAAAGTTGGTTGTACAGAAAAAAAGGTCTTACCAGTCTAAAGATATGGACATGATTAATGCGGACAAATATACAAACAGACAGACAGATAGGTAAAAAACTATATACCCCGGCCCGAAGCTTCATTTAAGGGGGCAAACGTATTCCATTAGAGTAACAAATTTTTCATCATCAAACATTTGTTTATTTTTTTTTTAATTGGTAAAAATCTTCAAAAACCATTATATGTAAGTACATGTAGAACGGGGAAAACGATACTACATGTGCCAATTTTTGGAAAGACGCGCACTCCTTTTCTGTAGTTAATTATGTTTTATGCTACCACCACCATTTTGTTAAAGTTTTGTTGACACTAGCAAACGACAAAAGACATTTTACAGGTTTTGAGCTAACTACATTTTTTTCCCCTTGTATCATTGGTCAGAGGCAATTTAATTTTGTACTAATTTTTACAAATTAAATCATCCCTACTTTTTAACTGAAATTCATTCATATTATTTATACAAGATTTAATTTTCTAAGCTAGCGCCCCTTTTCGCGCCAGTTTTAAAAGTAGATATCAAAAACGTTTTACGTTTGAAAAATAAAACTTTATTTGATTTTTGCAAATTATTTATCCAGGGTAAAATTATTAAAGAGATTTATACTTATTTAATTATGGAAACTTCTTTTTCTGACTCCATCTAGAAAATAACATTTTTTAAAAGATTAAAATGACAACTGTGAAAACTTACAATATAAATGTAAATAAATTTCTATGAATGCGAGTATCGTTGCTCTAATAGCCTTTCGTTAGAACATTTTAACACTGTTCTTTTAAGGTAGGTCACTCGTCAAATTTGTTATATCAAGGATTTTTTGGAAAGTATATTTTGGTTAAGTACTCATCTAGTATGACTCAAAATCGCAGAGAAAATAGGGGGTCAGTGTGCATCTTACTGATCTATGGTACAATTAAGTTGACCTTTTTGCACTTAAATTTTAACTCTTTGATTCATTACTTTATCTCTAATTTTATTTTATCAGATGTTACTACGTTAATAAATTTAACCTTATTTTTACATAAAATAGCTTGAATAATATTTATTATTGAACAAATTTTGAAAATTAATGAGCGTTTATTATTGTGTGACCTTTTTGCACTAAAAAATAACATATTTGGGGTATTAAAAAACTAAATAGGCAATAAAATATTTTCTTATATCAAGCTTTTTAGGAGTTAAGTGCTGATCAGCCACAAGTATCAAGTAGTTTAAAATAATGAAAGAATCAAAGTACTGAAAGTACTGAAAAGCGGTTAGCATGCTTTCATGGAATTTGACTGTACAGTGTAGAATAACAAAAAATGCATTCAGTGATGATATTAAAGTAAACATGCATATCTTTGTCCAATGTCATCAGCGAAGAAGCAGACACACTGACTTTTGTAGTTCTTAACAAAATGGAAAAACCAATAACATCCCAGACTGATGTTACAAATGTATGTTTCAAAATATCAACCTGAGATTTTCAGTTTGAAAGACAGGAAGTTCAATTTAAAAAATTTCTTCCTAATTGTCTCCATTGGTGGCGTCCAAATGTGCTCAGAACGAAAACAAATGTTGATGTTGCAAATTTAATTGTCTTTCATGCTCTATTGACTCTGAAATTAGGTAACTGTAAAGCCTACTGAAAAAGAAAATAAAACAAGTAGAGCTTTTCAAAAAAGCTTACGTCTTTAGCAACAATTTTAAATAATAAACAGATCTATACTTCTTTTGAATTTCTT